TACATCCACTGCTTTCCCTTCATCCACAGAACCAGTAATCTCATCATAGAAGGCGATTAGATTAGTCAGGCATGACCTTCCCTTGGTGAATCCATGCTGGCTGTTCCTGATCACTTTCCTCTCATGCAAGTGCATCAGGATTGATTCTTTGAGGACCTGCTCCATGATTTTTCCAGGGACTGAAGTGAGGCTGACTGGCCTGTAGTTCCCAGGATCCTCCTTCTTCCCTTTTTTAAAGATTGGCACTACATTAGCCTTTTTCCAGTCATCCGGGACTTCCCCGGTTCGCCACGAGTTTTCAAAGATAATGGCCAATGGCTCTGCAATCACAGCCGCCAATTCCTTCAGCACTCTCGGATGCAACTCGTCCGGCCCCATGGACTTGTGCACGTCCAGCTTTTCTAAATAGTCCCTAACCACCTCTATCTCCACCGAGGGCTGGCCATCTATTCCCCATGTTGTGATGCCCAGCGCAGCAGTCTGGGAGCTGACCTTGTTATTGAAAACAGAGGCAAAAAAAGCATTGAGTACATTAGCTTTTTCCACATCCTCTGTCACTAGGTTGCCTCCCTCATTCAGTAAGGGGCCCACACTTTCCTTGGCTTTCTTCTTGTTGCCAACATACCTGAAGAACCCCTTCTTGTTACTCTTGACATCTCTTGCTAGCTGCAGCTCCAGGTGCGATTTGGCCCTCCTGATTTCATTCCTACATGCTCGAGCAATATTTTTATACTCTTCCCTGGTCATATGTCCAACCTTCCACTTCTTGTAAGCTTCTTTTTTATGTTTAAGATCCGCTAGGATTTCACCATTAAGCCAAGCTGGTCGCCTGCCACATTTACTATTCTTTCGACTCATTGGGATAGTTTGTCCCTGTAACCTCAACAGGGATTCCTTGAAATACAGCCAGCTCTCCTGGACTCCTTTCCCCTTCAATTTAGTCCCCCAGGGGATCCTGGCCATCCGTTCCCTGAGGGAGTCGAAGTCTGCTTTCCTGAAGTCCAGGGTCCGTATCCTGCTGCTTACCTTTCTTCCCTGCGTCAGGATCCTGAATTCAACCAACTCATGGTCACTGCCTCCCAGATTCCCATCCACTTTTGCTTCCCCCACTAATTCTACCCGGTTTGTGAGCAGCAGGTCAAGAAAAGCGCCCCCCCTAGTTGGCTCCTCTAGCACTTGCACCAGGAAATTGTCCCCTACGCTTTCCAAAAACTTCCTGGATGGTCTATGCACCGCTGTATTGCTCTTCCAGCAGATATCAGGAAAATTAAAGTCACCCATGAGAATCAGGGCATGCGATCCAGTAGCTTCCGTGAGCTGCCGGAAGAAAGCCTCATCTACCTCATCCCCCTGGTCCTGTGGTCTATAGCAGACTCCCACCACTACATCACTCTTGTTGCACACACTTCTAAACTTAATCCACAGACACTCAGGTTTTTCTACAGTTTCGTACCGGAGCTCTGAGCAGTCATACTGCTCCCTTCCATACAGTGCTACTCCCCCACCTTTTCTACCCTGCCTGTCCTTCCTGAACAGTTTATAACCATCCATGACAGTACTCCAGTCATGTGAGTTATCCCACCAAGTCTCTGTTATTCCGATCACGTCATAGTTCCTTGACATCACCAGGACCTCCAGTTCTCCCTGCTTGTTTCCAAGGCTTTGTGCATTTGTATATAAGCACTTGAGATAACCTGTTGATCGCCCCTCATTCTCAGTATGAGGCAGGAGCCCTCCCCTCACAGACATTCCTGCCTGTGCTTCCTCCCGGTATCCCGCTTTCCCACTTACCTCAGGGCTTTGGTCTCCTTCCCCTGTTGAACCTAGTTTAAAGCCCTCCTCACTAGGTTAGCCAGCCTGCTGGCAAAGATGCTCTTCCCTCTCTTCGTAAGATGGAGCCCGTCTCTGCCCAGCACTCCTCCTTCATGGAACACCATCCCATGGTCAAAGAATCCAAAGCCTTCTCTCCATATGCAGTGTGGGTCACCACGAGATCCCAAAGCTCTTTTCAGCAGGCTTATGATCCCCATTTTAAAGATGGGGCAAGGGAGGCACCAGCTGGCAAAGTGACTTGCCCAAGGTCACAAAGTAAGTCAATGGCAGAGCAGGGGACAGACCCCAGCAGTCCTGCTTGCCGGGCCCATGCTCAATGCACTAGGCCAAAGCCGGAGCTCTCAGAACATGGGGTCTAAGGCAGCAGCCCAGCGAGGAGGCAAAAAGGCATTAATCTGGCCCCTAACTGCCTAAAAACAACAAGGAGTCTGGTGGCACCTTAAAGACTAACAGATTTGTTTGGGCATAAGCTTTCATGGATAAATTACCCACTTCTTCAGATGCAACCCCTCTGAGACCTAGTTGCATACAATCTCAGGTGGGGAAAATCCACAAGCCAATCTGTACACAAAACATAACAAACTGGCACCCTGGGGCTGTCATTAGAGTAGTTATCTGTGGGAAGAAACGAAAATCTCGGCAGTTTCTGTTTGTTCAATAGCCACTAGCTTCACTGTCCCCCGCTACACACAAGAGATACTCCCCCCAGGTTCCAGCCTCTTCCACGCAGAGCCTGGCCCACTACATCGCAGCATCCGATGACATGAGAGCCTGTAATCGTAGCGCGGTAAGATCTTGCGCCTTGCAGAGCTGCGCTCTCAGGGGGAGAGGTCCCTCAGCCAGGCACATGCAGCTTTGTTCTGGGCAGGTGTCTGCAGGCAGGAAAGCAACACGGTCCCTGAGAGGTCTGTGCAAACACGCACAATCTAGTCCTCAAGCAGTCCCCCGAAGCATGGGAGACAAGCCTGGTGCAGGGGCGAGGGGCTTGCTCTGCGAGACTCCGCTGCCCCTCACACTGTCTCAGCCATAATGACTCCTCGGACGTCGAAGGCGTTACGCCGAGGTCGAACTCAGGGGAGATCAGACTCAGGCCTATCCCAGCCTGGCCCTTGCAGGCTGTGTGACCCTGGGCCAGGCATTCAGGCTGATATTTCAGGGGCTTAGAGACTATGGGGAGGAGTGTGGGGTATAAAAACTGAGAGAGAGAGAAAGACAGCGAGCCTCCCTTGGCTGTGTTCCAAGACAAGGTGGGTTGAACAAAGCCCCTCTGTTGCCCGCTGTCCCCCCGACATTTAGAGGTGCTGGTTCCCGAGTCTCCCCCCATTTTCCTGGACATGCCAGTGGCCACATCAGCGGCATCTTTCCCCATCGCTGCTTCAGACTCCAGACAAATTCTGCCCAAGCCTGGCAATCTCTCGGAGGCTGGAAGCCTGGGTTCCCAGTGCGTGCCCGTGGGCATTAGCCCAGCATACGAGGCTGTGCCACTCTGGCATATCCATTGGCTGGGACTGGGCTGCTGTTTGTCAATGCCGCCTGTTGGACCGAGTGGCCTGGGGAGGCAGCAGCTGCAGGATGTACCCAGGAAAGGGCCCGTGCAGTTATCACACCGCTGGGATCGGCGCCATCAGGAGCTGCGCTGAGACCTGACCTGTTGTCAGCAGGCGCTTGGCTTTCAAATATGGAAAGTGGACTCAAAACCAAACGGCGATGTTACATCTAAACCAAACCGCGGCAGGGACGTAACAACGTACCAGGGAGGGACCAGTTAAAGGGACGCTATCAGGTTGGATCGATCCATTACTAAAGCAAAAAGAACAAATAAAGGAGAGCTGATAAACTCAAACAAACAAACTCCTCGTTGTTTTTGTGGATACAGACTAACACGGCTACCCCTCTGATACCTGATAAACCCAGGGAGTCTGTGTTTCAGCCTGGCCTTAACTGGACCTCTGTTTTGCGTAGCGAATTTGTGATGTGGTATTTTGCATCGGCAGTGATGTGTGGGTGTGTTTTAGGTCATTCAGAGGTGGCTGTCCCTTGATTTGTGGGCAGAGTCTGAAATGGAGGACTTTGCCCTCAGCCACATTGGCACATGAAAGTTGTGGGTGCAAAAGCCAGGGCCAGTCTTTACAAACCTATCCCAACCGGGATCAAAATGTCACATTGTTTATTTTTATGTCAATGAAAACTTTTTTTACAAATCTAACCCGCACCCTGCAGTGTTGGAAACCCAACCATGTCCACTTCGTGCTACGTTCCTCCAGTTTCACAGGCCACTCTTTTATTAAATACATATTGTTCAAAAATCTGATTGCTTGACATTGTCCCATAATAATGCCTAGCTGTTCAGAGCAACATCCCATTGGTTCTGGCACTGTATTTCCTGGGTGTCATTTCTTGGTCAGATTAGGGACATTGATGTGTACAGAGAATGCCAGACTTCACTTGTATCCTATTCTATGCCCGCTGAGTGGGAGGTGTCAGTCATCGCCAAGTCTACTGTGCCTTTTCCTATGGATATGAAACCTGTGTTGTGCAGGAGGTCAGACTAGACGATCAGAATGGTCCCTTCTGACCTTAAAGTCTATGAACTGGGCTTGTTTAGTCTGCGGAAGAGAAGAATGAGGGGGGATTTGATAGCTGCTTTCAACTACCTGAAGGGGGGTTCCAAAGAGGATGGAGCTCGGCTCTTCTCAGTGGTGGCAGATGACAGAACGAGGAGCAATGGTCTCAAGTTGCCGTGGGGGAGGTCTAGGTTGGATATTAGGAAACACTATTTCACCAGGAGGGTGGTGAAGCACTGGAATGGGTTACCTAGGGAGGTGGTGGAATCTCCTTCCTTAGAGGTTTTTAAGGCCCTGGCTGGGATGATTTAGTTGGGGTTGGTCCTGCTTTGAGCAGGAGGTTGGACTAGATGACCTCCTGAGGTTTCTTCAAACCCTAATTTTCTGTGATTCTGTGATTCTAACGCAACCCAGAAGGGACTGGATTTCAGTGACAGGTGAAGGAGTATCTGTGCGTATCATCAGTGAAGCATTTGGGGTTGGGAATAGGGCTATAGAAATGTAACTCATCTGCTAACAAACATCTGCAGTTCCTGATGTCTATACCCAGACCCAGCATTTCCTTCTCCATTCACAGCAGGTGAACATTGTGATTCCTTTTAGGCACTGCCTCATCCTGATATTTCATGAGAAGATCCTGTTCTGAGTTATCAGCAAACATCAGTGGAGGTAATGACATTTTGCCAGGTGCCCCAGGATCTCGGCACAAAATAAACATAAAACTCAGGAGTAAAGGTTCTCCTTTTTTGAAAGCCATGTGGGCACATTAGCTCCTCTAAAAGGGGCGGGAACAGTCAGGGTCCTCCGGCGTGACTATAAATCCAGGCAGCAGGTTTCTGACAGACCTCATAGGGAACTGTCTCACCCCTGGAGCCATTTCTTAGCGAACTCCAGCTCCGTCTGTAGGACACTGAAAAGCCAAGATGGTGAGTTGAACTTTCTGCTTTGTGTCATGCATCTCTCTCTCTCTTCTGTCAGGGTTTTCTTTACAATGGAGAAATAATGTTCAAGCCATCATCGGGTTACAGATGATCTAGCTGAACTTGTAGGAATCTAAAGACTTCTCTCCATTAGAATAGAGCCAAGCAAAGAACTGATTTTTCAGTTCAGTGGCAGGCCCGAAAAATAAAAACAAAAAAATTGTTTTGGGTCAAAGATTTGTTTTGAAATAAAAAGTCAAAAGGTTCCTTTTTGACATTTTTGAAATGAAGTGTTTCAGCTTTAAAATTTAATTTATTTTTGGCTGAAACTCTTCCCTGAATTCAACCTGAATTTGCCAATAGCTTCAGTCAATCCAGAACAGCATTTTTGTGTGTGAATAAACTATTCCCCCCCCGCAATTTGCCCAGCTCTACATTAGATCATAATCTCAAATGCAAATATTACATCTACTGATGAAAACAAAGAACTTTATGGGGGTGGGGCTGGGGGAAGGGAGAATCAGTCTTTACAAAGGGTACATATGTGTAAGCGGGGGAATGGTCCGGCTATTGGGGAGAACTTTCCTGGCTCGCGAAAGGATCTGAGTCCTCGCTCCCGCCCCCTTTACCCAGAGCCCTGCCTGACCTCGAGGGCTCCCCTCCCACTCTCCCATGGGGCAGAGTCCGCGGAACCCCAACAAGGCTGAACCCAGGATTCCTGGGGGCTGGACCCCCAACCTGGTCGTGGTTACTTGGGCAGGGGCGAGGGTGTCCCCACGCCGGGGTGCTCTCTCTGCACTGATTGTTACACAGTTCAAAGCAAATACGATTTACTAAACAGCAACCAATTAAAAAAAAGGGGGAAAGGCTAAAGGAAAACCCGACACCCGCTCTGTGGCCCGGGGACGTCACCACCAGCTGATCTGGGATGTCAGGGCAGTTCAGTCTGTTCCTCACACGTCCCAGCCCCTGCCCAGGCCCTGGCTGAGCGGCAGGGAGGCTGTGGGTCGGACACTCGCTCTGGCGGTGGCCACACACCCTCAGGCTCTCGGTGGCAGGACCCTTCCTCCCAGCATCGCTCCCGCCTTGGCAGGGTTACGACCCTCCCTTCAAGTCTGGCCTGCAGGGCCTCTGGGCTGGGGGCGTCTCCCTGCGCTGGGCCGGCTGCCCAGGGTCCCCCCCTCGCTCTGTCCAGCTGCTCACCGCACCCGGCTCCGGATGGCTCCAGCCCCAGCCCCCGGGGCTGCCTTTTCTGGCCCCTCTGGTCGCTGCAGCTCTGCTCCCAGCACAGGTCTGCTCCCTGGGCTGCTTCTCTGGCTGGCCCAGCCCTGCTCCCCAGCTCAGCTTGGCCCCTGCTCTCTCCTTAGCTCGGCCCCCACTCTGTTCCAGGCCATTCCCGCTCACCCTCTGGCCTCCAGACTCCCACATCATTAGCCTCCCTGCCCTGTCAATCCAGCTGACCTGGAGCATTGGCCTCTCCCCATTGCCCCTGGGGACTGTCAGTCTCAGGGTCCTGATTTCCCATCCACCCTTCCCCTTTCTTTTGGTACTGGGAGCTAACCCCTCCATAAAGCATCCTTTGTCCTGAGTCACAGTCATGGATTGCAAGGTCAGGTTGCGATCATCTAGTATCAGTACCCTTGTCCTTAGTTTTGTCCAGAGCTGTAAGTGTTTAGACAGGTTTCTTGGGTTGTTTCTCATCTCATCCACCCTGTCCTGCACGAGGAGAAGAGCTCACACTCTGCTGTGGGGATGGAAATAGGAAGCGTTCGCCAGAGCCAGCACAGATCTCCCGGTCAATAGGTAGCTCGAGAGAGGGTGTGTGGAAAGGCAGACAGGTAGCAGCTCCACACTGAGAGAGGTTGCCCAGCGCTGTGAGTAGCGTGGCCCGTGGAATGCCCTCCCGGTAGCCCCCGTAGGGTTGCCTATGACATATTGGGCCTGGGTTTAAAGCCCCGATTCTAAGGTCCCTTCAAGTGGAAGTGTCGTAACCAAGCCCAAGCTGTAGCTGTTCAAACATCAGTCTGTCAGGGAAACCTCCAAAGGAGGGAGCGTCCAGGGCCCAAGAACTGAAGTCCAGGAGGGTATGTTTACACTGCAAAAAACGACCCGTGGCAGTGAGTGTCAGACCTGGGTCAAATGCCTCGGGCTCACAGGGCTTGCGCTGTGGGGCTGAAACTAGCCCTGGAGATGACTGGGCTCTGAGACCTGGTATGTGGGGAGGGTCTCGAATATCTACTCTGCTATCTTTAGCCCTGTGGCACGAGCCCCGTGAGACTGAGTCACTGACACGCGCTGCCATGGGTCTACTTTTGCAGTGTAGACCTACTCAGAGAACACAGTTAGGGCCTGATCCTGCGCTCCCTAGTTGAACACAAAAATCTCTGCCCGCCTCAGGAACAAATAGATTCTTTGTTGTGACTCTTCCCCCTGCTTCAGCTTGTAGCTGCCGAGGGCAGCGGGAGTGGGTTTGGAGAAGCCTCTGGCTCACTCTGGCATGGCTGTGATGGGACCCAAAGGGAAACATGCCCCTCACGCAGAAGAGCAGATTAGCATGATGGCAGGGAGGGGTTGTGAAAAAGGGAGGAGATAAGGGGTACTCTGGGAGGACTGTCCCCCAGAATAAGAGAATGATTCGTAATCAACAAGGGATGAGATTTTCAGAGGTTCCCAGTCAATGGACCTTGTGCTCCTTTGGAAAATCTCACCCCGTGGCATTGGGTAGGATCCCATGGGGGCAGACATGTGGGGACTGTTACCTCCCTGCTCCTTTCCGCTCCAGGCTGGGGGAGCCCTTTACCCGTGTTCTTCGTCCCAGCCGGTCCCCCAGGCAGTCTGAAAACAAACGTATCGTTCACCCTGCAGCACTCATTTGAGCTGTGGTTTGACGATGATACAGCTGATCATTGTAAAGCCTGGGGGTTTATTTGAATAATAAACTAAAATGATAATAATAATGTCCCCTCCCATCTGGGTCACTGGTTCCAATCCAGCCCAGGTTGGGAATGTCAGAAAGTTATTGCCACCTTGTGGCTGTTTGGCTGGCGTGAGCTGAGTTTTGTCAAGAAAACACACGTCTGACCGTGTCCCATGCCTCGCGGGCAGCTGAACCTGCTGCAAAAACTGCCCATCTCACAGCTGCGGTTAATTGATTCTCTACTTGGCAGACTCAGCAGAGAACTCAAGGTTTGAATGGGCCACGGAAACTGGGTTCAGTCTTGGGACGATCTGTCCCCAGTAGAGATACGTTGATTGGGCGCAGGCAAACCATATGCGTTTTAATGTGGCTAGACGTCAATGTAAACATCTAGGAACAAAGATCGCAGGCCACACTTACAGGCTGGGGGACTCTGTCCTGGGAAGCAGGGACCCTGGCAAAGATTTGGGGTTGTGGTAGATAATCAGCTCCCAGTGCAACACTGTGGCCAAAAGAGCTAGTGGCATCCCAGGGTGCATAGCTGGGGAATCTGGAGCAGGAGTTGAAAGGTGATGTCAGCTCGTAGCACAACCATGCTGGGATCCAGTGTCCAGTTCCGGTGCCCACAATTCAAGCAGGATGGTGACAAATTGGAGAGAGGTCAGAGAAGAGCCACGAGAATGATCAAAGGATTAGAAAACAAAGAGAAGGTCAAGGGGTGACTTGATCCCAGCCTATCAGTATCTACACGGGAAACAAAGATTTGATACTGGGCTCTTCAGTCGAGCTGAGGAAGGTCTCACATGATCCAATGGCTAGGAGTTGAAACTAGACAAATTCAGACTGGAAACAAGACGTAAATTTTTAGCAGTGAGAGTCATTAACAACTGGAACAACTCACCCAGGGTCCTGGTGGATTCTCCATCCCTGACATTGTTTAAATCAAGACTGGCGGGGGTTTTTAACAGATCTGCACCGGGAATTATTGTGGGGAAAGTTTCATGGCCTGTGTTGTTCAGTGGGTCAGACTAGATGAGCGCAATGGTCCCTTCTGGCCTTGGAAGCCATGAAAGTCAGAGTTAGTGCACACTGGCAGGGAGCGGGGCTGGAACCCTTTGTAGAGTGGGGGTGCTGAGAGCCACTGACCCAAACTGTAAACCCTGTGTATGATGGAACCCACTTCAAGCCCGGGAGTGGGGCAGCCCCCCTAGTTCCTGCACCTATGTTGGCAGGGCAGTGTGGGGAAACTCACATGGTCACTGTTTGTGCTGGACCTGCTCTGTGGTTTGCAGTCTGCCAGGGTTTGCTGGAGGGACACACCGAGAGGATAGCTCCTTGCTTTCTTTCATGAGAACGATGCCCGTTCTTGTACGGCTGCTGGTTAAGGCTGCGTGTTCTGAATGCAGCCGGGTGTTGGAGGGCGGGAACTCCAGGGTGGTTCTGTAGGGAGCCTGTGAAGCTGCTTCCATGAATTCTGTTGCATCTTTTGCAGAAGACCCTGCTCTGTCTGACCATGGTCTGTGCCAGCCTGGCTCTCTGCCGTAGGGTCGGCTTTCTGATGAACAACGAGCAGATAAAAGAGGGTAAAGTTATAATTATTACTTCAGGCAAATGTTTATTTGGCACAAGTGGCAGACTCTGAGCTAGTCCCAGACTAGCTGTGGGCCTTGCAGGCCTGGAGAGACGTGCCTTGCTGGAGCTGGGGGTGAGGCGCTCAGTGAGATGGCAGGTCAGGACTCAGATGCAGCATTTGTTTGTACCAAATGTCTGGCTCTAGCCAGTGTTATCAGTCCTTCACTGTCCTGTGTCTTTGTCTTTCCATGCTCTTCCATGTACGCATGCCCACCTGTACACACTCACAGCCACTCTGCAGAGCAGGTCTCTGTTCTGAGCCACCCCTACGAGAAAGAGCCCAGGAACCAAGGAATTTCTACTTTCACAAGTCCATTTACTATATAGTCCTCAGATAGAGGATGTATCAGACATTAAACGGATAAGAACAGATTTAAAAATTTTATTAAGATGATGCTAAAATAAAAAAAAACGGTACAGAGTTTAAGCATAGAAGTTTCTGGTTATCAAGGAATAAGGTACAGATTATCAAGGGGTGCGAAGTTCGATTTAGGATCGGGTGGCATAAGGAATACATAATCTGCAATCTCCCTGATTTGGGGTAAAAGTTTAACCGGTCAAAGTACAGACATTGAGATATGGGGGTATGTTGTTCATATAATGACTATGTTCAGGTGTGGAGTATAATTACACTTGATCTTAGCCAAAAGGCCGAGGTGAACTTCGTTCTCCTCACAGCTGAGATCTGGCCATTACAGACTACAGGTGGCTCTCCATTACAAAGTAACCTTCAGAAATAAACCAAATCCAATTTATGAAACTCATTACCCTTCTCTTGAGGCCACTCCTCCCAGCAAGTCCCTGGCAGCGTGTGCAGGGTGAGAACACGGCACTTTGACAGCGCTGCTGCCAGGCTCATACAAAGGCATTTGATCAGCAATCTGCTGGGGCTTATTAAAGAGACTGTCAAAAGGCAGAAATGGATCATGGGCTGCTGCAGTTCTGGAAAGCCTTTGCAGGAAGGTGAAGCCACACTCCTGAGCGTTTCACTGAGCAAAGCATGTTAATTAGCGAAGTAATTATGTTACAGGACCCTGTACCAAATAGGCTTGGCATTTACCCCCCTGCCAAATGTACAGCATAGACCTTAAGCAGACCTGCGCAAATAATGGATTTGTCAGTTTCTGGCAGTGCAGAAAACTTTTTTAAAACATGGTTTCAGGTCAAATAAAAAATGAAATGTTTGATTAATTGAAAAGTTAAAGAATACAAAAACAAAAACCCAACTCAGTTTTGGGTTGAACAAAATGTTTCGTTTCTGTTTTGAATGTTTTTTAAAGTTTGACTTTTTTAGAATTATTTTTCTTTGTTTTATTCATCATGATACAATTCGGTGAAACCGACATGAACACATGACATGTTTTGGTGCCACCTCGTCCGCCTTTTTCACCTGGTGCTCATCCTAATGCACCAAGGGTGGGTAATTACGATGGGTGGGTGAAATGGGTTAGTTAAAAACGCAAGACACTTGAGTAGTAAGTAGCACTTGGCGCATTCCCAGCACCTTCCATATGAGGCTCTAACTCACCCTGCAAAGAAGGCCAGCACGAGACCTGTGAGCCATCTAAGGGTCAGACTGAATTTCAAAGGAGTCTGCAGGAGGTAGCCACTCAAGTCCCATTGAATTTCAGTCCAGCCTAGGTCTTTCAGGACTTACTTGGGGTCGGTGGTGCACAGACCTGGTGCTAGCTCTCCACGTAGGAGTGAGTTTCACTCCTTAATGAGTTAAGACTCAACAGCATCCCAGTGAGGGAGGAACCTTTCCCGAAAACTGAATCGAAACTTTAGGTTGGGGGTGAAAATACCGGGTGAACTTTGAGTTTGTTCACTCGTTTTCCGGCCTCATCCCACCTGCCCAAACTGCTGAAACACTGCCCGAAGCGCCAGAGCAGGGAGCTCTGAAATTCCCCAGAGCTTGGTCTGGAGATCCTGCCTGATGTCCATCCAAATAGGGCTTCATGGCGTGCAGGTCCCCATCAGCACGTCTGGATCCTGTTCCAACCTGAGTGGAGCTAGTTCACCTCAGTCTGGGACAGTTCCTCAGATTTGTCACCCCAAAAGAATGGCTCAGCTTTGGGAATCTCCCCCACATCCTCTGCAGTGAAGACCGATGCAAAGAATTTACGCTTCTCTGCAATGGCCGTATCTTTCTTGAGTGTGCCTTTAGGACCTCAATCAACCATGGCCCCACGGATTGTTTGTCAGGCTTCCTACTTCTAATGTTCTTACATTGTTTTGAGATTCTTTTTTGCGTGCTTCGTTTAGTGGGGCTGATGTAATTGCTCAAACGCCTTGCTTGGGATGATTTTCAATCTTCTTACCCCACTGGCTACAATTAGAGGTGTCAACGTGCTGGTTAAAGGCTTCTGCTGATTGTCCTCAGTTTCAGAGACCTGTATTTATAACCTTAATTGATGCTTAAATAAATGGATACTTTTAAATGGAACAGCCACTTAATCAAGCCAAATATGAATCCATTGCAGAGTCCTGACTAAGAAGTTTCTACTCTGGACACAAAGCCTCTGACTGTACAAAGACTTGGTTTGAGATCTATCTCTGTGCTGCCCTTTTCATCCCAGCCGTACCCTTGGGTTGGGAAGTGTGGACGCACAGGGGATTCTTGGGGTCTCAAGAGCTCCTGAGCTGTATCCAGGCAGTTGAATATTTCAAGTGGATTTGCAATGTTAATAATTGCTTTGTTCAATGACTGTTCTTTGGCTAAAGCATTTCTTCCAGCAAGATAACTAGGTCCGAGTTGAAGACATCAAGATATAGCTTTGCATTTAGCTGCATTAAAACGTATTTTGGTTACCAAGCAAGTGACCTGTTCTCATCGTTTACCACTCTGCCAATTTTTGTGCCACTCACACATTTATCAGCTGTGATTTACATTCACTTCCAGATCTTTGATGAAAATGGTGAATAGCATCAGGCCTAGAACCAATCACTGTGGATCCCACTAGAAACACCCCCAGTCAATGATGAGTCCCAGCTGACAGTAACTTCTTGAGATCTTAAAGAAACAAGATGGGTGAGGTAATGTCTTTTATTGGACCAACTTCTGTTGGTGAGAGAACCAAGCTTTGGAGCTAAAAGATACGACCTTCACCACCTTGTCTCTCTAATATGCTGGGACCGAGACCGCGTTACCTAGGGAGGTGGTAGAATCTCCTTCCTTAGAGGTTTTTAAGGTCAGGCTTGACAAAGCCCTGGCTGGGATGATTTAACTGGGAATTGGTCCTGCTTCGAGCAGGGGGTTGGACTAGATGACCTTCTGGGGTCCCTTCCAACCCTTATATTCTATGATTCTATGATTCTATGAACAACACTGCAAACACACTGAAAGATTGTTGAGATCTGTCACTTAGCCAGTATTTCTTCATTCAGTTAATGTGTGCTCTCTCGTGGAGCTAATTTTTTATGAGACCGTCATGCGGTACTAAGTCAAATGCCTTGCAAAAGGCTCAGTAGTATTACATCTATGCAGTTACCTTTATCAGCCAAACTTGTGAGCTTATCGATGAATGAAATCAGTCTGTTTATGTTAACCTGAATTTGATGGGCTAGTTGTTATGGCTTGCCACTGATCGCATCCCACCAGAAAATTTATAGGTCCTTGTCCAATTCAGACTATAGGGTCAGAGAACTCAGAGAGTTCTATATAGGGAGAGGACTTTTGGGGTGCCTTGGCAAAAACACTGAGGACAAAACCAAATTGATAAAAACGTCATTGAGAGTAACAAAAGAATAATAAATGCTATGAAACTTACGACTGCAAAACAGTAGAAGAATTCCAAAACTCCTGGTGGTAACGTTCCTGTTATAAGTACCTTAACCTAACATACTCGCACCCTTCCTTGAGGAGCCGGTAATAGGAGGTGAAGGACCAGCCTCACTCCTGGCATGCCCGATAACAGGATGGTGCTGGCTTCCCCAGTAGTTAGGAATGTCGAGTAGTTATACTATACTGCACAAGCTGAGCTGACAGCGTGATAGAAGTTAGAGTGATAGGTAGATAAAAAAGATAATCTACAGAATATAGGAGAACAAAGAAAAGAAAGAGCTAAAGACTAAAAGAAGGCTAAAAGAGAGCTCATAAAAAGAAGCTCCAGACTTCTTCCATACATGGTATTTTATAGGATCCTGACACTATGTAATTCAGGCCTAACCTACTGTACCCAAATCTTATTTCTGTACCCTAAGAAATGTAGGGGTCCCCTTCTCCGATAGGTTAGTGGATTATGACACTTACTCTCTATATATTAATAAGGATTATCTCCCTCCAAAAACTGCCAACCTAGGCTCTCTTGGCGACTTCCATGTCGTGGTGTACCCTGTGGTTACTAACCGGTTGTAGACGCTGGATAAACTTGTTCAGTGATGTGTGTCATTCCTCCCTTTGGTTCCCCAAAGTTCAGGGACCATTCTTATCTGTGCCAAAGGCTACCAGCTTTTCTGCTGACTTACTCTTAACTGATTATACTTTTAGCTATATAGCATATCTTACCGGGTACAGGCTGGTAGGCTTCTTGCATTTCAGCAAAACTTATTCTCTGTATAATTATTAGGAAATACATATCATATGCCTCAGCACATCCTAAATTCAAAGGAATTAATACTGATAAAATATAAGAATGAAATGGATTAATTCAGAAAGAGAAACATATTATTTGATACGGCTGGCTGGATTAGTAGGATATAATAGCCAGCAAAATAATCCTATGGGCTACATTTAACAAGACCTAGTTTCCATAAAAATTATGTTGACTGCTATTAATATATTCCCAGCCTTGAATTCTGTATCAGCTGAGTCATGAGATGGATCTCTCTCTCTCTCTAACCCCAGGCCGTGCCTGATGTCATTCACCAGCTTTGATCACATTCAGGGGAGTATCACGACGAAAGATTTTCAGTGGTGTAGCATTTAAAGCGAGTAGTTGCTTTTCCTTGGCATCTTATAAATTGCCCGGAAGCAGCTAAATGTCTGATTCAGTTTGGGGTAGTGCTTGTCTTCTGTTTATAACATGAGGTTCCTTACTCATGTGAGGGAGATTTAGGTTAGATATTAGGAAAAACTTTTTCACTACAAGGGTGGTGAAACACTGGAATGCGTTACCTAAGGAGGTGGTGGAATCTCCTTCCCTAGAAGTTTTTAAGGTCAGGCTTGACAAAGCCCTGGCTGGGATGATTTAGTCGGGGATCAGTCCTGCTTTGAGCAGGGGGTTGGACTAGATGACCTCCTGAGGTCCCTTCCAACCCTGATATTCTATGATTCTATGATCACAGCATTGACCCATTTTACCTGGGGCTGCGCACCAAATCTTAAATGCTTCTCAGAAAAAAACAACCCCTGTACTTGGAAAGTTACAAATGAGGCCGCTTTTCTGAATACACCAGATGAGCAGAATGGTTCTACTTCACCGTTGTTCCACTTTGGGAACCTCTGCAGGGTAGTTTGGATGTAGGTAGTTATTACATAAAACCCCCGAACAATGGCTCCTCTGTGCATGTGATAATGACACACACGCAGGGGCGGCAGGTTTGTATAATTTTTGGTGGTGCCCAGACTGGGTCTAGTCCCCCCGCTGCCCTGTAAGCTGATATATATTTTATTAAATAATGTAAAAATGGACTGGAAACTGTAAGCGTTTAACAGTTTCCCTTTATTGCACAATATCACTGTCATAAGAAAAAATTATTTAACCAAGAATGTCAACGTTATTAATACTCTTTTGAATACGGAAACAACCAAGCACTCTTTGATCAACAACCCCCAAAAGCAAATACTTTCTAAAATTAAAACAAATATAGGGTTTGGGTTCGGGTTGCTGGTTGTTAGTGGTCCTACAAATCAAGAATTCGTTGCTGGGATAAAATGAAGCTACAACGCGCCGGCGCCAGAAGATTTCAAGGGTCAATTAAAAGTGGGAAGTCAGACGCAGCACTTGCCTGCTTCAATATATTATATTTTGTTGTACCTGCTGTGACGAAGTGGGAATGTTCTTCCTGTTTTCTCTGAATACTGTGTGTGTGCCTCAGTTTCCCCTAGGCATTTCTTCAGGACCTAGGTGGTGGGATAAGGGTGTGTGATTGTTGGAGAGCCCTAGAGAGCCAGTGTGATGCTGTCCGCCACACTGTGCCCCTCCTGCAGCGTGTCCGCCCGGGCGGGGCTCCTGGGGAAGCCAGAGGGCCCTGCCCCCCAACTCCACTGTCAGACGTGACTCTCGGCCAGCCAGTAAAACAAAAGGAACGCAGTATAAAACAGAGCTTGTTGTAGGTACAGAAAACAGGACCCCTCAGTCTGTTCCAACTTGGGGGGTGGGGAGCCCAGACCCAAGTTCTGGGCCTCTCCCCGTTTCCCCAGCCAGCTCCAAACGTACACTGTCTCCTGCCCCTCCTCTGGCCTTTGTCTCTTTCCCCGGGCCAGGAGGCCACCTGATCTCTTTGTTCTCCAACACTTTCAGTTGGCACCTTGCAGAGGAGGGGCCCAGGCCATCAGTTGCCAGGAGACAGGGTGTCGGCCATTCTCTGTGCAGACAGCATCACACTGGCCCTCTAGGGCTCTGCAACAATCACACCCCCTTATCCCACCACCTAGAGACTTAAGAAATGCTTAGGGGAAACTGAGGCACCCACACAGTATTCAGAGAAAACATTAAGAACGTTCCTGTTTCGTCACACCAGTATACGACCAATTATATACTTTAAAGGGTGTAATATAATCAAGTATTGTGCTAAACACGATCATACCCCAGACTGATTGCCAAAATTTAAGTTGCGTGTTTTTCCCCTCAGGTGAGGGCTCTGGGATGGGGCTGGGGATGAGGGGTTCACACTGAGGAGGGGGCTCAGAGCTGGGACTCAGGGTTGGGGTGCTGGGGGCACAGGCTCTGGGGTGGGGCAGGGCCGGGGAGCTTAGGGTGCCTACAGGCTGCCCCAGGGCTAGGGTCAGAGAGGAGTCTTCCCCGCCCCTCCCCGCCGGCAACACCAAGCTCCGGGTGGGGGACCCCTCCTCTTCCCCCCCTGACTCCCTAGCACACTCACTCTGCACGTGCTCCTAGGGCCCCACTCAGGTCCAGGAAGCCCCCTCGCCTCCCCTATGGTGGGGGCTGGGTGGGGGCTGCCATCATGTGTGGCCTCCCATGCTGCTGCCCCTGACCATAGCCTCACTGGGGGTGGGGGGTGGGGCTGCCCCTTGCCCAGTGTGGGGCAGGAGGGGTGGCTGTGCGCGCAGGCAGGAAAGCTTTCCTTCCGGCGGCAGGGGCGCTCCAGGGAGGGGCGCCGGGCGCTCCGGGGGGTCGCATGGGGGGGGCCCGCTCCAGGCAGGGCTGGGGGAGAGAGGGGGCTCTGGGACAGTTCGAAGGAGGGTAGAGGCCAGATGTCAGCCTGTGGCTGCATCCTATCTAAAGCCATGCACGGAGCACATGGTAGCAGGAAGAGAGCTGAACAGCACACGGCCTCACGTTTACCCCCCTGGTTTTGGTGTTATCTGTGTTCCTAGTGTTACTCTGCCAGGGGACGCAGAGGCTCGTGAAGGTGCTGAATAGGGCATCATTAATACTCTGTGGTCCCCAAACTGTGGGGCGTGCCCGCCTAGGGGGTGCGGAGGAACATTGGATGGGTGCAGCAAGGCATCACCCAGCCCCGTTCCGCCCCAGCTCTGCTTCGGCCCGGCCCCCGTGCCCCGGCTGCAGCTCTCCTCCTGGCCCCCACCCCAGCCCTGGTTCCCTGGGGGAGGGGGTGTCGACAGGGATAAGGGGGGGTCGCAACTGTGAAAAGTTTGGGTTCCACTACTCTAGCCCTTGGTATCCTTAA